AACTGTTGTGAAGATTTCTTGTAGTTTAGGCATTGTCAAGAAGTCAATAGCTTTTTTGGTCTCCGTTTCTCCATTTTTCTTCTTTGTAAATAGCTCCCGCTAAACTTTTTTCGAAGCTTTCACTTGCCTCAATCCGAAATAATCTCACAAACATTTTCAAAACCGCGTGCCATGTTGAACAAACAAAGAAAACAAGTTTCCCGTGACGTCATCCATGTATCTGTACTCTAATAGATCATGGGCAACGACCAATCACAGCGCGCGTAGCATTCACATCATTGTGTAAATATAGATACAGTCCTTCAAAATTCAAGTCCTGAAAAATCGCCAACATTTGCACAAATTAAAAGAGCTGGAATAAGAGCGATGAAGTTTAAAACATCTTAAATTCACTTTTTAAGTGACGTTTTCGCTGCTGTTGCCGTCGTCGTGGCTTAGGCTTCCTATTTATTTATATTTTAAAGGTCTTTAAAGACAGTGCGTTTACTTTAAAACGGATGCAAAGTTCTAAACTAGGTGTGTAAGGGGGAACCATTTTTCAATAGACGGTATACGACTGAAAGGGGTACCGTTTCTGTCAAAAATGATATATAAAAGAGGCGGGGCATCCCTGTATGAAACTTTGTTGAGTCTAGATATTTAAACTAATAAGGGCGGCTACTCGACAAAAATTATACGGGGAGGTTCTTACATATGATTTTTGTCAGAAATGTTACCCTTTGCTTCCGCTTATGCGGGAAGGTCGTGGCTCTTCTCTTACGTACTTAAGAACACAGCATCCTTGTCAATCAGAATAAATTTTTTGAACAAGATTATTGGAGAATACCTATACAGTCAAACCTCCCATAAGCGACCACACAAAATGCGAAGATTCAGTTGTCGCTTGCAAGAATCCCAACTGCAAGGGGTCTTTTCCGACTAGAGCTCCCGACACGGCATACTTTTTGAAGTACATTGTATGCATGCAATTTCTAAGTTACGACGTGTCAAGCTACGTGTTGGCACTAAAAGGTCTTCGTAAAATTAATGTCAACAAATATTTATAAATTATGGTTACTGAGCTCGCTGATGAAAATTGTTTGATATCATCTTGAGAACTCTACCAGCCTACAGGAAGAAATGTTTAGAAAATGCCTTTATCACATATTAATTGACTTCAAAATAGTAATATCCTCGTGCCCATAGCCCTTGTAATAATCACGTAAAGGACGTCATATTCAAGGGTGCGTAGTCGGTAACCTCATTTTTAGAACTGATTCGTACTTCTTTGCCTCGTTTATCACTTTTTTCTCTATGAATACTCGTATCAGGCATCATATTTCTGACCCAAATTCGGAATCATTTTGTATTTTATTTGTTTCTTTTCAGATTGGCAAAATTTGGCATCTTTAAACTACGACGAATTATTTGCCTATGGCTGCTTAAATAAAATTCCATTTCGAGAAATCACTCTTAACACAACATTTATCGAGCAAGAAAAAACTGTTCTCATGGAAATATTCAACGAAACAAATGGTCATAACTGGAGAAATGATAAACACTGGGGAAATTACTGGGTGTCTTACTGTTTGTGGTATGGAATTACTTGTGATCCGCGGACCAATCGCTCCGTTATCAGTGTCTTCTTAGAAAGGTACAATTCGGTCGGGACTCTTCCACGAAGCCTTTGGAGGTTACGTAATTTACAGGGTTTGTGTCTTGCTGAAAACGGTGAGTTACAAGGTGAAATAAGTGAAATTGTCTCTGAGAATATGACCAACTTGCTACGACTTGGACTCTCCTTTAACAATTTATCCGGTCGTATTCCTGGTGAAAAATTAGTAAGGATGAAGTCTTTAGTAGTAATCCAACTTAGCTCTCAGACAGGGGAAGGACTCACAGGAGAAATTCCACGGGATATTGGAAATTTGATAGACTTGCGAATTCTCTCTCTTGAGGGAAACAAATTGAAAATGGTTCGATACCGAAAAGTATTGCAAAACTGAAGAAACTCTGGTTTCTTGATTTAAAACTTGCACGTACAGTATCTACAAGGAGGCTTTGAAAACTTATTCAACTTGTCAGTATCTACAAGGAGGCTTTGAAAACTTATTCAACTTGTCATCCTTACGTTTCATGCAACTTTCATATTCTGGACTGAGTGGAAAGCTACCTTATGAATTTGGACATATTTTCCTGAATTGATCGAGTGTCTATTAGCAGCGGCCTCTATGTTTTTCAAAATTTGCTTTTTTCCAACAAAAAGAATCTATTTTTATTTTTACTAATTGAATTTTAGCATTACACTTAACTAAGCAATATTTCATTAAATTCATTATAACTATTAGTGAAATCCAGGCTTTTTAGTGATTGATTGACCAAAAACATGAATTCAAAAGGAAAAAATGTCAGATGCTGGGCTCAGGTTTTAACAGTGATAATTTCTCTCGGAATTTCATAACTTGCGCTCTCTACTCCACAGAGGCCTCAGGAATACACAGCAGGAGCCTTTGCGGAGGAGAGAGTAACTTGCGGGTTTTTTTTAACTTTTTAAGAATCCTTTTATACACAGATCAATTTTTCTCTAATGATTACCTCGATACGTGGGTTTTAAGTAAAATGGAATACATTTCATAAATTCAAGATGGCGGATGGTTCTAGATCCCTCTTTTACAATGAATGACGCCTTCACGACATCACTGCTATTGTTTAAGATTATTTAATGTGTAGGGTGTTTGCCAACTTCTAGATTTTGTCAGACACTATTTTTGATTTGAGGGGAAAAATAGATGGAATTCGGATTTTTTCAATAAATTCAACAATATGACGTCACAGTGACGTCATGTTACGTCATTGTGTCAATCAAGTTATGCTCAGATATTGGAAATAATGAAAGCATTGTTCTGTGTAATTTCGGTGGCCGCGTTAATCATGAGCGGTCTTGAAGTTATAGAAAGGGGGGCTTCCCCGGTTCCAAGTGAATAAGGTTTATGGGTTCAAGGGCTAGGGTTTATCCTTGGTTTAAACTGTATTTGAAATTAGTTTCAGACTCATTATCATACATTACCATAGCCAGAAATGAAAAAAAAAATTAATCCAAGAACAAGATTATGTTGCTGAATTCGTTTTGAATTCTTTTTCCTAGCGCGTTTACGGCAAACAGCGACTTCCTGTTTAGTAAAAGATGGACAACACCACCACCGCCACCTCCAGCGTAGTTTACATCCCCTACACTCTTTGAACACCAATTTGGGTTCTTTTACGTCCCTTTCAAATTTATAAGGAAGGACAAAGAAGACAAATGCCACCTCCCAATGACGCGATCATCAGAACTGAGATAAGGTCTTTATTATACATCAACTGCCCTAGCCAAGCGGTCATCTTCACAGTGGGAGGAGGGGTGCGACGGGTGCGCTTGCTCTCCCCCCACATTGTTCCCCAACGATTGATTTAAAACAAAGTGAATTACTAATATTTCCTATTTGTTAATTGTGTAGTAAACTTGAATCACAAAACTCGTTTTAGCCTTCGTCTAAAAGTATTTGGTGTGCCCATAAGGCATATACCCCTTGCACAAGTCTTTTTGGGGGATCATTCGTACGGCAGATCGAGCAAATGTTTTCTTGCCGCTTTTCTTTTACTGGGAGGTCATGTGGTCTTTTACTGTTCAGTAAAACCTCCCCACCCCCCGCCTCGTTCGGTCTGTCTCCTCGTTGGATCGCAACTCCCCATAAAAAATCCTAGCTACGGGCCTGGTGAATGTGTCTTGAGCAAGTCGTTTTAGTTCTCATCGACGCATCGACGTTTTATGCTAAAACACCTAGTAATCACAAACTTTTTTCCGTTTGCTTTTGTCTGTTAAAACGTATATTTTGCCTACCTGCGTGTTCAGTTGACCTACTTCGAGTAGCTGACTCGCTGAGTGTTCTTTGGGGAATAAACTTTGATCCACGTTATTCTTTGAAATTTATAACAATGCCACCTTTTGCTATAGTAAACAACCGAAACAGTAGACAAGAAAATGACAGGGGCGTAGCCAGGATTTTTGAAAGGGGGGGGTCACTGAGGCTACTCACCAGATTGTCATGTCGACCTCCACATCCATATTAACTAAAGACAAGAGCCGTTGACGAAAATACTTTACAAAAACACAAATTTTAAAAAAGTGGGCTTTTCAACAATGGCTTTTACGGCCAAGATATTGTCATGGCGTTTTCGCCACCTGAATATTGTAGGTTGCCAGGAGCCCATCAGATGGAGCCTCCATCTCCCATACAAGCCCTTGGAGCCAACCCTTTCCCGAGTAGATTTATAATTAGAACGGTTCCCAGGGGAGACCGCGCGCCGACGGTGGGAAGAGCCAATCACAACGACGAAATGACACTGCTATTGTACTTCATCAAACAACAGGAAATTCGGTGTTGACAAGCCAAACACAATCATAAGCTAGTAAAACGTGACTTAAGCGTTTTCATCCCTCAGAGATTTTCTTTCTTTTCTTTCTAGCCTGTAGATTATACTGTGGAGAATTTTAAACTCTGACTATGTTAATCTTAATTTTGGCTGCTTGTCTCACATTAAGAGACCATAAAGCTGGTCTGTTAGATGCATAATGATTAACTTCTACCTGCAGTCTGTAGTTCTGACAGGATTCGTTTTCTTTAGCCAATTTTTTTAAATGTTAAGGTTATTATTTCGGCTAAATGACTCAATATTAATCAAATTTCTAGTTTTTCAAGGTTTTTTTTCCGAAATCTGTTTATCTGAAAAAATACTTGTAGTCCTTGTGGTTGTTTTGTCCGTCAGCTAGTGTGATGATTCCCTGCTGTTTTGTAACGCCGGGCGCAGCCATTGTTTTCTCATAAAAAAGTGATCTACAGATGCGAATTCGAACAGAGGGACAGATCCACGCGAAAACCTACCCATCGCAGACTACTCCTGCACGACTCTTGCACCGCACCTACAATCACTTCCGCAACTGCGTCGACAGTCCAGCGGTTTTCTTACAAAGCGAAAACAAAATGGCGGAAGGGCCGCCAGTTCCAAAACAAAGTGAAAGAACAGAAGAAATTTCACAGCCAACTTATGATCACCCAGTTTATAGAGAAATTTCATTTACGTATGGACAAATTAACAAGATGAAGAAAGAGGAAGTCAAACGTTGCCTTGTTGAAAGGGGTTTGGACTCAAGGTAAGTTTTGTGTAATTTTGGCGCTTAAATGCAATTTGCATTGACATACGCTTTTAATATTGGATGGATTTTTACCACAATAATTGCCATTATTTTTGCTTAAGGTTTTGTTGTAACTGACAAGGAAAAGCTAGACTATCGTTAAGTAATCTATCTTGCATGCGGTAATTCGAATTTCTACCTTAGGAATAAAAAGGACATTTATGGGACTTTTTCTTTGAATATATCACTTCCTTTCTGGAACTTTAGTCTTCTTTCAGTACAAATTTTGCGTAAGATTACGTTCACTTGTTGTTAACGTTCACTTCAGAGTCGAAGATCGAATGAGAACAAGTCAGTTCTGTCCTTTAGTAGAGTATAACAGGGCGTATCTAATCGATATTTTCGACACTCGATAGAAATCGAACGTAATCGATACTAATCAATCGATTACTATCGGAAATCGATTGAAATCGATCACTTGCGTCTTTGTGATTATCAATTTTGATCAATTTCTGTAATTAGCTATGGATTTGTTCGACAATGATCGAAACGAAAATGGACGAAGATTCTCTTTGGCTGTGTATAAAAGTGGGACGGGGACAAGGGGACGGGGACATCGGGACGCGTGTGTGGGGACTTGGGACGTGGGGACGCGAGACGAGGGACTTGAGGACATCAACTTTGGGACGCGGGGACGTGTGGGACGGGGACGCGGGGACGTCAAATACAGGGACGCAGGGGAGGCGGGATGTGAATGATTATTGCAAAAGTCGCAGGTAAATGCGATATCAGTCACTTTCCTCGTGAATATGTTTTGTTGAAAGGAAACCCACCCTGCCCTCCTTAGGGTTCCTCCATGCCCGTTTACGAAGAGAAGACTCGGCGAAGACCCCCTGCATTGAAGAAAGTGAAACCGTTGTCCTAGTCTTCTTGCTGATGGAATATTGGAGCCAGTAGGGTAGGGTGGGTTGCGGTCGCCAAAAATTATGTAGAATAACAGCATTCGATTCCAAATAAATAAAAATTAAGTGGCATTAACGAGCTTCGAATCCCGAAGTTGTAACTCCGAAATCCATCGCCTGTACCACTAAACCACGAGGGATTCAACTATTGCAGCAATATTTATTTTGTTCTACATTTTTAGTGGCAAACCTAACAGTAAATGCTTGCTAACAGTACTTAAAGGTTGATTTCCACCGACGCGTTTTTGGCTATGCACGTTAACGCAAGTAAATTTTAATCACGTAAATAAGATAGGCAAGATATAAATTGTCGAGATTAAACGTGAAGTTGAGCGAGATTCTACTTTTTTATTTTTTTTTTTATTTTTTTATTTTATTTTATTTTATAATCACACTTGGCATTCACTTACAATACAGCTACACGGTACTTACTTATAACAAGACTACAAAATTTACTTACGTTACAGCTTTACTTACTTGTTTGCTACTTACTTACATTAAAATACCTAAAACTAGTTTACAACAAACAAAAGGACTACTAAAGACAATAAATAAATGAAAAGAAAAGAAAAGAAAAGAGAAGAGAAGAGAAGAGGAGAAAGAAAGAAAAAAGGCGACTCCTCTGCCTAAAACGGTTTTTAGCAATAACTACTTGAGATAACATTGACAACAATTGCTAATATTAATAAGAAATCATCAATATGCATAATTAGATGATTAACAAGATGATTAATAAACAGTGCGGAAAGATATGTGAAATAGATACTTTAATTAAGAAATATTGGCGGTATGTCTAGCTCTCAATTGCACTTTGGCCTTGGTTCATTTACAGAAAATGGATAAATAGGAAAGCTTTTATTTTACCAAAAGCTATGTAATGTTGAGAAGTGGACGTAAAGGATTCCATTACTTTTACGCTTACGTGCGGCCTGTCAGACATTGCCTCTATTTTATGTGCGAACGTAAATTTTACGCACGTAGGCATAGAAAAATTACGCGACAGTGGAAATCAACCCTAAACCTGATCACGATAGTCAGTGGGCTTTTCATACTTCTATTATAAAGAAATATTTTGTGTAAACATCATAAGGTGTCCAATGTGGTTTTGGAAGATGGAATCTAATGTTGACCATAAATAACACATTTTCACGAAGAAAGAGATATCGCATTTACCTCCGACTTTTGCAATAATCATTAACATCCCGGGTTCCCTGCGTCCTAGTTTTTGACGTCGCCGCGTCCCATACTTGACGTCCCCAAGTCCCTCGTCACGCGTCCCCCAAGTCCCAAGTCCCCACACACGCGTCCCGATGTCCCCGTCCCCTTGTCCCCGTCCCACTTTTATACACAGCCCCCTGCGTCCTAGTTTTTGACGTCGCCGCGTCCCATACTTGACGTCCCCAAGTCCCTCGTCACGCGTCCCCCAAGTCCCAAGTCCCCACACACGCGTCCCGATGTCCCCGTCCCCTTGTCCCCGTCCCACTTTTATACACAGCCATTCTCTTTCGTAAAGTTCTCAGTTTTACGCTAGAATGAGTCACAACTCATTCAAACTAATGCACAGTAGTCCAGCGTGAACTGATAAACATTCCCTTTACACTTTATTTAAATTTCAATAAATTTTGAAACTAAAAAGGATTAAAACATAAACAACGCAACTGTAATATGAAACTATCGTTTCCACCTTCACAATTAAAGTCATGCTTGTTGTTACGATATCACAAGTCCTCTTCTCGTTCTGTTTCATATTTCAACATTAACATTCTCCAAACTATAAACAAGGCAACCGTAACGCAATTGTTATCTCTGCCTTCACAAAGTAACGCTTGCTGCAATATATAAGTTACATTATATAGGTTTTTATTGTATTTAAATTTATTCAATATCAGTGTTTCGACTGTTAGTATCATCATTCTATTTTATTTTATTATGACATGTAAGCGCATTGAGATTCTTAAATGCTCTCATAAAACCTTACTATTATTATTATTATTATTATTATTATTATTATTATTATATATCATTCATGAGTCCTATTCTGGTCCTGTTTCAAATTTCAACTTTAAAAACCTCCAAACTATGTCAAACAAAGCTATCTACACAGCATTTTAAACTTGGCAAGGCGGATTTACAATGTCCAGGCCAGAGAGCATTTCTGAATTTACTTTGGCGAATAACCAGCAGGATAATAACTCCATCAAACGACGAAAGAACTCAGTAACAAAGCATCTGACCAAACCTAGATACAAACTACTTCTTGATAGAAAAGCACTTCCAAGTATAAGGCGATGAGCTCAAAAAGAAAGAGCAACTGCAATAAAAGATGTAGAAGATGTTCTTTTCTCTCGTCATAATAAATCAACAGGAACAAAGAGGCCTTAAATGTGCAGCCGTTATGCCAGTGTGATTGGTCATCCGTATGGTCATTGTTACGATACAATGCAAAATGCCAGGGTGCATCTTGTTGACAATGACTTTCTTGCAACCTTTTCCGGGCTTGGCGAACTTTGGCAATAAGGTCACGTTTCTTTTCACTCGCTTTATAAGTAACGTTAAGGTCGCCAGACAAATATCGAGTACTATCGAGTATTATCGATTAATCGATTACATTTTCAATGATCGATTTCTATCGATTTGATACGCCCTGAGTATATTTATGGCTGGTTCTGCAAACGGCCAAGAAAAAGTTTATACTGCATTCTGATTGCCTACTCTGGCAGGCAAGATGAGACTACCTTGCTCGCTCGGGATTTTCAAGGAAGGCAAGATCAAGACGGCTGGATATTGGCCTCAGTACTTGTTTCCATTATTATTGACCACAACTTTGTGTCAGGCCATAAAAATGTGAGAAAAAGAACTTGGCTAGTATTCAGCCATCTTGACCTCACGCTTGGTCAATAAGGCATATATGTCCTAGTGCAGGCATGTTAGTGCAAGGCTGATTAAAGACTGGCAGGTCCTACTCCAGCAGCTGTCAAAGGGAAATGTCTAATCAGGGGTGGGTACAGCTTGAACAAGGTTTTCCCAACTTAGATTCTTTCCCTCCAGAGAATAGCAGGAAAGGTAGCTTCAAGGGAGTTGGTGGCTTGGTGGATGGTAAGAATTGCCAAGTATTGGACTGCTAAGGCTACCGACAGAAATGCTTTGTGCCTTTCCATCCAAGCTGCCATCACTAGGTTGATTCTAGGCAGGGGCCATCTCTATAAAGCCATAAATCTGAAGGTCTTCCCAACAGATTTTAAATATTTAGTCCTCAATCTGATGTTTCCTGTTGTAGCAGTGTTGTTTCATTTTTGTGTAGTCCATTTTTTGCTCTGTTTTAACAAATAGGGGAGTGAAGGAAGTTCTGCAGAAACGACTAAAAAACCACATCAAGAAAGAGAAACTGGTACAGGCTAAACTAGCGCAGGAAAAAAGAATGACTGAAGTTCACTTTTACTGTGTTATTGACTTTCAAGGAACATGTGAGGAAGAAAATCCCAAAGACTACATTCATGAGATTATTGAGTTCCCTGCTGTCCTTGTGGATGCGACTACACTTGAAGTGGTAGGTGAAATTGGTAGGGGCGCCGAACAACCGTTTCCTGTAAAACATCTGTTCAGTGATGCAAATTTCGCCTATAATTTTCTATAGCTTGAGGGCGGTTAAAAATTTCTAGATGACTGTTCCATTCATGTCCTGTTTTCAGAGCTTATCTGACTTATATATTCCATATGATTTTCTGAAGTTTAATTTTTCATAACCTAAGATCAGGCTCAATTTTCGTTTCTCTTTGTAATAACATTCCGGCGGGCAAGACGAAACGAAAACAGAGCCTGATACAAACCTTCTACGAAACGTCTGCGGCTCACTTTTTTGATTGATTGACATTTGCCGAATCAGCCAACCAAAATTACTTCCCTTGCTTGTTTTTCTAGTATGCAAATTTTTCATGCGTGGGAAAAATGCAGACTAGCTGACTTAACAAATAACTTTTATCCCTGCTTTTATCTGTTAATTTCTTCAGCTAAAAGTAAAACAGTCAGCACGATCACATTTAACTTCTTGTGAGATTGAAAGAGATCTCGAAGGTTATTTCTGTTGGGGTAGAAGGTAAAAAGTTTGCGAAAAGACAGCGACACGCATTATTTTGGCTAGGCAGGCTAGAATTTAAAATACAGTACTGAAATTTGTATTTTTCTGTCGCCTTAATATTTTCCTCCGCAATTTTCCCCGATTTCCAGTACATAAATCTTTAAAAATCTTGAAGAAATATATCGCGAACGTTTTCAAAGAATATATAAATTATTTCAGAACAAACCAAACGAGTTCTCAAGTGTATTAACACAGCTGATTTAGTTCTGTGCGTACACTTGCAATAATATTTGCGAATTTACTTGAGAAGCAAACCTCTAAAAAATATATATTTTTTAAAAAAATCCAGGTAAATATTATCTGCCACTAACTGCATGCTCAACTGACCTATAAACAAAACGAAAAACAATATTACAAACACACTTTGTAGTTCTCCTTAGCTGTGTTGTTGTGTTACTGCTGGTCTAAAAAGCTCGCTAAATTTATGATTCTGAAATAAACAAACAGCAAACAGCCAACGAGCGAGGACACCAGTTTTGCTGGTTTATTTCTAACAAAAAGCGAAGGCAAGCAAGTCTGTTACCTTCAGACTTGCGATATTTTTCGTCTAATACTTCACAGTTGGCGATTGAGGTTTCTTTCGCAGTGAGCCTCCGCTTGCGTACCCCGTTCAGAGAAGTCATTCCCGGCCAAACTTTCAAATGAAACCAGTTTTAAGATGGACAGTATTTTGATTTTCACTCGTTTGTTGGTAAATCAAAAGGCACCTTGTTAGCGGTCAACAACTTGCAGAGGGATTCAACTCTGCGATACACTCACATTAGTTCCGTAGGGCCATCCCAATAAAATGTTTCGTTTCCCATCGCCCTCCCTCTCGTGAAGGTGGGTCGGTCGGTCGGGCAAAGGAAAAAAAAAACGAGAATGAACACATGATTGCATATTAAATCTCACGTTTAGTCTGCAAGATATAATTAGATGGTAAAAGATGTATATTAACAGGACTATCAAATGTCTAAAAAGGCTACAAAAACGAAGTATCGATGATAATTTAAGACAACTGGTGTTAATAAGACAAGATCGTGTGCTTGTAAATTAAAGTACTCAGGCTTCTTTACAAGTGACTCTGGATATTTTTTTTTTTTCTTTTTTTTTTAACTTTTCCAAAAAAATGGGTCGGTCGGGCGATGGGAAACGAAGCATTCAATTGGGATGGCGTAACTAAAGCAAATCCTGAGAAGATATGAACAACCATATGAAATTTCTGAATTTCTATGGCACATATTAAGGCACATTTTCCTACCATAAGACCGTAAAACAATAAAAAACACAGCAAAATCGATCCTGCTTTCCGCCGACGGCGGATCATTCACGAAAACAACCACGCGAGGAATAAGCGATTTCAACTTCCGGCGTTTGCGACAGCCAATCAGATCTTGCGGCATTGGTCTAACAGCCAATCAGCGTTACGGCCAAAATCTGGCAGTAACGAGCACAAACGTGAGAGAGTTTGTATCAGGCCCAATTTTAGCGGTAGCCGTTAGCGAGAATGTATGAGATCCGCAAAAATTGGGCCTGATCTCAGGTTAAATTTTTCACATTTCCCTCCCCAGGTTAAGCTATATTTCATGCAAATAAGAAACATAACATTTTCGTATTTGAAAATGTGATTGAGGGAGGAAATTCTCACCTTAGAAAAGTATTTAATTTCATCTAAAATTTTTGGGAAAATAATACTAAAAACCCTTATAATTTTGAAATTAAAAGACTTAGTTGCCGTAGGATAACGGAAAAGATACAAATTTTATATAGTGCCATTTACTAGAATGCATTTATATAGTTTTTTAAATACTGTGGTTAACCTAAAAGTGTTTTCAATGCGTTTAGGAGGAAACCTTTGCTGCAATCGGCAGCAAAATGAGTTGAGATACTTCACCCAAAACTGGGCTTTTTTACGTTTTACTAACTTCCTCCCCCATCCCCTCCAATGTTGTGCCGATGTTCGACCTATACCTATAGAAAACAACAAACACCCCAACTTTGAGTGGAGGGGACAGCCGGGGAGGCGCGCGGATTCTTTTGTTCTCCTAAGTAACCCTATTTGAGTACAATGTCTCAACAATTTTGTCGCCGACTGTGGGTGCCCCTTAAGCAGTGTTCACCCGAAATTTTAGCTCAGCGGGTAATGGACCATTCATGGCCAGTAAGGCAACATATATGCTCCGTAACATCTATGCCCTCCCTTCCTCGCGGGGGTCTATCTGTACTGGTAGCCTTTAAGATAACGAAGGTCGATATTTCTTGCATTATTACATGTGATTCGGGCCCTTAATGTTCGAATTTTATCACATGTATTCGAATCTACAACGCTAAGAAAAAAAAATCATGATCACGCGAAATAATGATTCAAAAAGCTCCCTTACCTTTAGTTCATAGCCACTCTGTGTCCTACGGCCGGTTTAAACGCCGTTTAGTCGACTTTCTTTCCATCGAGTACTGAACACTATATATCACAGGTAATAATGCAAGAAATATCGACCTTCGTTATCTTAAAGGCTACTAGTACAGATAGACAAACAAGAAGACTTCATATCTTTAAGATTTTTGCGTTTATTTAGCATCAGATAATACACTAATAATTCTAGTATATTCCGACCAAATGACCTCTGAAGCCCGAACCCACACATATTGCGCTTGGGCTGCCTGTGGTAAACTGAACCAATCAAGTTATTTACAAAAACAAGGTGGACATTTGTAGTGGTTTTTGCAGGGCTGATATTATGCGATGGTGTAATTTTACATAATACTGACCTCAAATCACATCCAATCACACAATTTGAGTAAAATTGCATAATTCTTAAAAATTGTTTAATTGAAAAGTAAACAATGATTTTTTCTTTTAATTAAAAATTTTTCCGAAGGTGAATGCTATTTTAGCGTGATTTATCACTGAACAACTAAGCGTTACAAGACATCCAAAACCTTCAATTGTGGTTGGTTGTGATCATTGGGCAGCCTTTTGAGTATTTCAAAGACAAGCAGTGTTGTCAACGTGCTCATAGTTTGTGTGTTAATACATGCATGTTGTTGTTGTTGTTAGGTATCTGAATTTCATGAATACTGCAAACCACAGTTCAAGTCACAATTGTCGCAGTTTTGCCAGGAACTCACGGGAATTTCACAGGTGGGTGTGGTGTCATTATCATCCATGGTACAGTGGAAGGTCTCATAAATGGACACCCTCAGGATATGAAAAAGGTGTCCGTAACTGGAACTGGCTGCTTACAATGAATAGTTCTCATACGCGGCTACTAGGGTGTAAGGGTTAGATGGCAGCTTATGGGAGTTTGCCCAGCTACAAATAAACCTTGCGAATGCAAAAAAACTGTTTGTTAGTTTTTGGCTATACTGTTGTTCTGGCAATGTTATAATTCAGTCACAAGCCTGAAATTCAAGGGATGTCTTGAGGTGTTACCCATATTGTATGTGAAAAAAAAAACAAGCACTGAAAACTGGCATCAATTCATTGTGATGAACAGTGATTTGGAGTCAAGATTCAGATTAAAATACAAGATTCAGACGTGAATGAGATTTCATTTTGGTTGTCTGCCTTCTGAAAGTGTCCTTGGCTGCTTGTGGGTATGTCCACGTACAAGAATGTAAAAATACAGAGTTTGTATGGAAGTTAAAACGAGATTTTGTGAAGGCCGCCAGTTTGTAGAGCTGTCCACTCACCAGAATGTCTGTTAAGAGCGCTTCCACAGACTGTAGTTGCTAGTTCAAGTTTGAGCCATTTGCCTCAATCTTAAGTTGTGGCTTACCCTGGGTAGCAGAGGTTTTTTCTATGTGTGCAACACTCACTACTCCTCTCAACAACTTTTAAAAGCCATTGTTTGATAGGATTAAAACCCCATTTAAGCCCTAAATAACAACCATATGCCTCTGATTATAACTGAATGGTCCTTCTTTTAATTTGATACATTGCTGTTACTTATAATCCTAGTACTTTTTTGTTAACTTTTTGTGAAAACTCTTGTGACTCCCTGATAAGTGATGATGTCAGTGTCGTAAATCAAATCTGATCACATTCCAAGCAAAACATCTCACTTTATTTTTGTTCTTGTTGAATTTGTTTGTTTATTTATTTGTCATTTCTAAGGAATTAGTGGACAATGCAGACTCCTTCCCAGATGTCCTCTGCAGATTTGAGCAGTGGCTTAGAGGGCAAGAACTTGGAACAAAATATAAATTTGGTGTAGTTACAGATGGGTAAGTAAGTCTTCTCAGTTTTCTTCTTAGTTGTTTTTTGGTGTGCAACGTTTCTGGAAATTGTTAATTCTAGAGAAATACTTAATTCTCCTTCCTTTGTATTCTTTTAGTCCGTGGGACTTGGGTCGTTTCTTCTCAACGCAGTGCAGACTTTGTTCGATACCTGTACCCAAGTTTGCGAGAAAGTGGATTGATCTGAGAAAATTGTACAGAAATTTCTACAAAGTTGCAAAAGGCTCGCTTCAAAACATGGTAACCAATTTAGGAATGGAATTCGAAGGGCGCGCTCATAGCGGAATGGACGATGCTCGTAACATAGCGAGGATTTTACAAAAAATGATTGAAGATGGCTGTGAAATAAAGTTTAACGACTGCCTTTCCAACCATCCGCAACTGGATACGCGTGGACTGGACGAATTAAAAAATGTGTAAATGTGATTTGGCCGGACCTGTGCAATCGATATAATCGTCGATCGAGAACTTTCGATACGAATCGGTAAAAATTGATTTATCGGAAATCGATAAAGATCGATACAGAAAAAAGGTGACTATTCAACGATTATCGATTTTTATCAAAGATATCAATGTTATGCGGGCTATGTTTTAGGGCGCTTTCCAAAAGTCAGAACTGGCCGGTCGGACCGTTCATTGGACTAAATATCCGTACGCCCCGCCCCGCCCCAGCCCGGTTGAGGACTTACATTTTGCCAGGGTTCGTACAGAGTCTTGAATTCTTGAAAAAGTCTCGAAATTTGCCCAGCAATTTTCCAGCCCTGGAAATGCAGTAGCCCATTTCGAAACTGAAATACAGTTGAACCTGCATTAAGCGGCCACCCTCGGGGTACTGACAAGTGGCCGCTTAATAGAAGTTCGTCAGAAATTAGCATCATCTTAAGCAAAAACATGACTTTTATTTTGAAAGAAACAGAAGACGGGAGTAGCATTACTGGTCCACAGTTGGTCGCCACCTTCTATCTCGGACTGCATTTCCTTTATCATATTCTTGAAATAAAGGCAAAGTAAGTGTATCAAGCCCTTGATGGTGGGGGTGGGGATGGGGGTTGGGTTAAGAAAGAAAAAAAGGAGGGAGGAAAAAAAAGGAGAGGGGATTGAGGAGAAAGGAAGGGAACTTCTTCTCTTTCTTACATCCCCCCTCCCCTCCCCCCCCACTTTCCTCTAGGCTACCTTGATGGCCGCTTAATAGAGGTGACAACAATCGAGGAACCCTCGTTGGGAAGGCCAAAAAGTGGCCGCGGCCGCTTGATAGAGGTGGCCGCATGAAAGAGGTTCAATTTCCCATTCTATGCTACATACAATTATTTCAGGACTTTGTTTACTGGCCGCTTAGTTGAGGTTCAACTATAGCCCTTTTAAAAGAGTTTTCCACTAATAACCCATCAAACCCATACATTTTAATTAGGAATTGACTAATCTGGCTGGGTAGTTTGGATTAAAAGTGAAATTCTCATTACAACGGGAATCCTCTGGCCGGTTAGTTCTGACGAATAAAAACTGCTCTTAGAGTATGGTCTTAGAGTACGCTTTTAGAGCTCTTAGAGTACATATTCTGAAAGTATGTAGAATAAACGGCTATTTGTAATTTATGGCCACTTCTGGGCCTGCTCGTCACAAGTAGAGAAGACTTAAACCACGAAAATATACAGTCCTGAACTAACCAGTTTCTCCTTGAGCTGCGGTGAAACGGGCAACAATAACGTGCAACTTGTTTCAAATCGTTGCTGCAAAAAGTGATGATGCGCGTTTTACCACTCCCGTTCAAACCTGTCTTACAGCAAATTAGGTCAAATTAGGTTCCCGGCTGCAGGTTGCGTGAATGCGGACTTCTGATTGGATAAAATAACGCGGGAATCACGCCATACAAGGGGGTTACGTCACTATGCTGCAAAACAAGTTTGCCTTGTCCGGTAAAACGCGCAACATGTACAGATTTTGTTGCCTAAAGTAGAACTACTCTCTACTTACTGCAAAAACTTTTCCCAACAACCTCATATGTTGAAAGACAGGTTTAAAAGTGGCTGGTAACACGACCATCATTGCTTCTCAACTCGTTTTGCAGCAGTGTTGCAAAACAAGTTGCATGTTTTTGTTGCCCGTATTACTGTAGCTTTACAGTAACGCTCTTTAATCAAACATTAAGATTGTGAGAATAAAGGATATGATCAACGAGATGAAAAAGCTCTTGATTGTTGAACAAATTCTCTTAATTATTACCACAGGGAAAGTTTGTAGAACGGTTTGGAGAATATGCAAGTTAAAGGGTTAAACATAACAGTTTCATCTGATCTTCATATTAAAAAGTAGGGATCTCTTTCCGGCCCGTCACCCCTTGCCGCTTGCGCTATGTCAGAAGACCTACGAACTTTAAAGGCCGATTTGGACGGTACGATTTTTCCTACGACTATCGTGTGCGACGATATGACTTTTGACTATCCACACGCACACAATTTTCACTTATGACATCCACAATGTGTCGAACGAATGTCGTGGGTCTTATTTACACGACGCGAGTCTTTGTGAAAAAGTTAAACCGCAGGAAAGAACTTCAGAGCAGGAAAGAACTTCAGAGCAGGGATGCTCAAGTGAACAGTTTGGTTGAGTAGTAAGGTCCAAAGACGTAAAATTGGACAGCAACACTCCAAAACCACCCAACGCTAGTTGCTTCAAGGCAGACCGAGTGCAACTTTTTCTGCGTTTTTAGTGCTTACCCGCTCACTCCGTCCGAGAACTCGACGGATCTAAGAGAAAAGGCAGACTGCTAGCAGTCTATGCCAATTGTACTAGACTACAAAGGCTAGCCGTTAACAAGCGTTTCTGTGTGAGTTCGTCGCTCTAACTTTCGCGACGACTTAACTGGAAACACTCGTTACGCGCGCAGGCTATGCCACAAGAGACAAAATAGGGTTAGCAACTATCAGTTAAAACCGTATTTAGCCGTTGAGTGTGAACGCATGGATGGCCAGTCTTTAGAAAACGTAAATAAAACGGATGCTAGTATGCAGGGCCTTGCTCATTCTCTTCCTCATGAGCCGATTAAAAGATGTTATTGACTAGCTAGAAAGCACATCATAACTTGCAGAACTACCATCCGATGACTACGATAATTCCCCCACCCTTTCCGCCATTGCTGTCAAAGATTTCTTCAGAACGAGAAAAAGCATAGGCAAAGGAACTTGACCGTAGCTGCGCTCTGATTCGTTATTGAGCTATTTTGAAAAAATAGCTCATATGTCAGTGGTGTGAGCGTATGTATCTTTGTGGCTTTGTATCTTTGTAACTTTGTATGTTCGGATGTTTGTTGCAAGAGCCAATAAGGTTGAAGGTACTATGAGTTGATGCTAAGGAACCAATGAGATCTTGGCATCTACTTAAAAATCACATTGCTAAAGGTCGAACAAGGGCACTTTAAGACCGCCATCTTGATTCTTTACAATTTGCTCGTCTTTTATTACGGCTACAGGTGTTTGGAAACATTATATTAAATATCTTCATGATTCAAACGCTGTGTACAGTGATGCAGCTGTTTAAGGGTGCATATTTTAGAGTGGATGCTACTTCAAGACATTTCTGACCGAATTCGGCTATCGCGAACGGTACCACGCACGTATTTATGAGTTGTGTTCCACCTGCTTCAAGGTAGAGTATAAACGATCATATATTTTCAAAGCTCTTCCAGTGAAGCAATAATTGATATTTAGGTATGGACTTTAATTCGAAAGTATGCGGCCTATAAAATGTGGTTTTAGAAGTTTGAAAAGCAGCTTATTTTTTTTAAAGCTGTACCGAGTATTGTATACCTGCCAACTTTTTCTGAGATGTAAGCGTGAGATTTTTATCCTGGGAGTGCTGGGATTTTTGAATACGACACGATCATTTCCGAAGATTCCCGAAGAAGTCCGAGGTCTTCCGAAGAAGTCCGAAGTCTTCCGAAGACGTCCGAAGTCTGCTGAAGGCAAAGTTATCGAGAAAACGCTTATCCACAAAATCAGAGATCGCGAGGATGGTATTGTCATTTATTCATTTTACACATGGTTTTCATTCCTTACATGGGTCTGAGTTAACATATTTTTGGAAATTGTGTCAAGCAAGACGGCAACAACTCACTTTTTTCAATCAGGCGTGAGAAACTGGCCCGCAAGCGTGAGCCGGCGTGAGATCGAAGTTTTCAACCCGCAGGCGTGAGAGTTGGCAGGTATAGTATTGTTAATCCTGTAAACAAGCTGTAGAAATATTATTCTCTCGCTCACAAAGTTCAACAGACCTTTTTCGTTCCGGCAAAACAACAACAAAAAGGAATAATAAGTGAACAACATGATACATCCTTCCTGCATACTAAGCATTATAGTTATTGAAACGTATTTTATTTAGTAAAGATGCGTATAAGCTTAAGTAGAAACAGTAGCGTTAGGGAATAAAATTGGAAGAAGCTAGTTGACACAATAATTAGGTACTGCTTTATCGAGTGGAGTAACATGATATGAGTAGAAATATATTTCGGCAGTTTGATAATTTTCTTGGAAGTTAATAATTGTTAGGCTATCAACCTTGACGTTGCATGAAACATAATTTAATTGCAGCTGTTGTAATGAAGCCGAGGTGATTTCTTACAGTCAAACCAGGTCAAGCGTTCCCGTCGCTAACGAACTAATGAATTCATTCACGGAAAAATGATTTCGTTTGTTGATTCAATAATCCATTCATAAAATGAACAATCCAATAGTCATATTTAGCCTCGATTCTATAATCGAATGTTGATTCGATTACTGTTTTTTGAAAAATTCCACTTTCCACAAGTTGACCTCAGAATTTTGTTTTTTCCTCTTTTTTTTCTGAGAGTCGAGTGCTGGCGAGTTCTGAAGTTCAAACCCAAACAAACTGTTACATGTACGCCAGTTTGCTGCCAATAATCAGTGCAACAGACCTAGGCCTGACCTCTTAGAAAACACGACGGTCAAACTGAGGTCAGTGTATGTGCGGTGATTGGTGGATTTCGATCCTCGGCCTTTGTCAGTTTCTTTGCGTTTGCGGTCTGTCTATTTTAGCTGTTATTTTGATTAAAGGCAATGAAAAACGCAATCGTAAACGGCAGGAAAAGGGAAGCAAATACGATTGAACACAACAGACAAGAATAATGAACAGGTAGATTTTGTTCATAAACCAAATCAACAGTTGATTATTGAATCGAGGTACAATTTGACCGTTGGATTATTCATTTTTTGAATGGATTATTGCATCAACAAACGAAATCATTTTCCCGTTAATGAATTCATTAGTTTGTTAGTGACGGGAACGCTTGACCTGGTTTGACTGTAAAATCGTTTGAGAAAATTTTGTAGTAAACAATTTGCGTTTTTTTTCAAGTACGAATTGTAAAAGGGTCAAAGACCAACATCTTCACGTGCAAATTGTGTGCATGAGTTATTTTTATAATTCTGTTTACTCGATTACTGTGTGATAACTCGAATTCCCTCACGTACGAACCACGAAAGGGGGCAAAGTCCAACACTTTCACGTACCAGTTGTGTGACTGTACATCTCATGCAGATTGGCTTTTCACAATAGTAATAGTGACTTGAACGTATGAAGACCTGTTTTGTTTTGTAACCAATGCCTTAAAAAAGGCTCTTGTCTTTTAAGAAGCAATAGCTTTTAAAACATGAAGAAATAAGTTGTCAGAGTTAAACACTGTTTCACTGAGTAGAATCGCACGTGAAAACCTCGTGAATTGTGATGATGCAACCATATACCACAATGATAAAAATCCTGGTATTTCGTAACTACTCGAATTCGATGAGTTACATTTTGGCTTAAGAAACTCCGAGGAAACCTTAGAGTTTTCCCTCTAATCAACGTTTGGTGAGTAGACATATATTTTACTTTAACAATTTGTTTAAATTGCACCAAATGTAACAGGGAAAGACAGAGGAAAGTAGCATGAGGATCGACGCAGCTGAGCGTTTCGCGTTTTCATTTATTTACGGCAATGCTCAATTTCGCACAAAAACCCAGTCTACATTTAGGACGAAAAACGTAGATTCATCACTCTTGGTAAGGTTACACTGAAGCATTAAGGTTACACTGAAGCATTCAAAATAGCTCGTGCACGTTTAACGTGCCTATGTTTACAAACAAGGCATTAAGGTGTGACAAATTTTCCGCGAAAAATATTTCTATAAATAACTTTCCATGGTAAAGGGGAGATGGAGTATGGGAGATCACGGGGGGCTCCTACTAATCGGCTGCTACTTCCTCAGAGCCAATCAGCATATTTTCAAGACCACGTGACCAAAAGAAATGACGGGCTCTGGGTCGACGGAGAACGGGCCTCCATTCCGAGTCTTGATGTGTAGTCATGATGGAGATCTCAGGGCGTCTGTTTACCGTCATTTGCACTGCTTCAGTTTTATATCTTTGTTGCACAGGATGCCAGTGTTATTCACAGGGTTTTCTCAAGGTCGGATCAGAATTGCATCCTGGCCGAGGACTAAGCGTGCGAACACCGGAACAAGGAAACTCAAACGGTAGCGGTAAGCTTTAAACTATGATTCACGGAGAGCAAAAAAATGAATGAGAGATGCACGAGAAAGTACTCTACCTTAACAAGAGTGCCGTTATGATATAGATATCAGTGATCTAATCACGCGTGCAGTACTTGCATTAGACTTATTTCCATCGCCGTTTCAAACGCTTTTCGCTGCAAAACAGCAGCCCAAAGACTGAGAGGTGTTCAGGAAAAGACAGCCCTTGACATGGCTTGTATACTCACCAGTACTAGGGTTTTCAGTCCTGACATATTATGGTCCTTTCCATCAAGACCATCCAAAACTACAACAATTTAATGTGTTCGGGTCTTTGAAATAAACGCTTAAAACCGGGACAATTTTAACCCTTTGAATTGTCTGGCTGCTTTGCCAATAGACTCAATTGCTGGCCTCCTCATGTTTCATAGAAAATTCCCAGTGTCGTGATTCCGTTCAACGAACAAGACTTCATTACTGGGTCTAACAAAGTTTTTAGTGGCATTGGTAGTCTTTACACTAGAGCCTAAATAAGCTAAGAAATATTTCAAGACAAGTAAATTTTAAATTCTTCAAGTAAAAGATTGCCTGCGTGCAGACGTCTCCTATTTCCTTTGTTGCACGCAGGCAAGTAAAAGAAAGCTTCACACACAACCCAGGCGACAACCTATCTTTTTTACTTCAGATTTACTTAAGCCTATTTTCCAACGCAATATAATTAAGATTGATTGACATGATTCGCCCCTCTAATTATAAAAGCTTAGAAACCGCAAGTTCCCCAAGGCCCGGTTCAGACGCCGCTCCACTCATGTGCCGAACGTAACTGATGAATTAAGTACGGCAAAAGAGCGGCGTCTGAATCAGTTTGGTTCGGCAGTTTTAGTTTGGTGCGGCAAAAGCGTTAAGTTCGACAGAGTCTGTCGAACTTTTGTCGAACTTAACTTAGGTTCGACACACGGTACGCCGTCTGAATCAGATGTCGCTCCAAAGTCGAACTTATTCAGCTAGGTTAGGCACATGAAAAGTACGGCGTCTGAACCAGGCCTAAGTCGGTTTTAAGGAATGGTTCATCAGATGGTTTTCAAGTCACTTGAAACTTTCTTGAATCGTTTCAACTTTCCGACTTTAATGAGATGCAAAGTAAAGTTAATTGAGATTTTACTTAGGCCTTCACACACACACACACTTAGGCTAAGTGAAACTTAGCAGCTCTTAAGTCTTACTTAACAGCCTAGTGTAAAGATAACCATTGTGCCACGAGATTTTGTGTTTAGACATGTTGGTAGTCTTTACACTAGAACCTAAATAAGCTAAGAAATATTTCAAGACAAGTAAATTTTAATTACTTCAAGAAAAATAAAGCTTCACACACAACCGAGTAACCTAAGGCCATTTTCCCACGTAGCGTAACGCCATTTTCCCAATTAACGTAATTGATTGACATGTTTTGACTTTCTTAAAGCTCAAGAAACCGCAAGCAACCGCAAGTGAGCTAAGTCGGTCATAAGG